CTGCACGGTGGAGCAGTGGTCGCAGCTGTCGCCTCACAGTAAGAAGTTTGCAGGTTCATCTGCACGGTGGAGCAGTGGTCGCAGCTGTCGCCTCACAGTAAGAAGTTCTCAGGTTCAACTGCACGGTGGAGCAGCGGTCACATCACAGTAAGAAGTTCGTAGGTCCATCTGCACCGTGGAGCAGTGGTCGCAGCTGTTGCCTCACAGTAAGAAGTTTGCAGGTTCAACTGCACGGTGGAGCAGTGATCGCAGCGGTCACATCACAGTAAGAAGTTCGCAGGTTCAACTGCACGGTGGAGCAGTGATCGCAGCTGTCGCCTCACAGTAAGAAGTTTGCAGGGTCAAGCCTTGATACAGACAACATCAAAATGTGGGTGGGGTAGGTGAAGCACCCACACCTGCCTCCACCCTCATTGGTTCCACTCTGGGCCCCTGAGCAAGGCACTCAACCACCACCTGCTCTTAAACAGGTGTCTCTAGAAATTGAGTTCTCGTGTCTCAATGAGATGACCTGGATAAATAGAGTAAATTAAAAAATAAAAACTGTGCTTAGAAACCAAAGTACACGTGTTAGTACAACACAATCGTCAATTTATTTTGATTTTTAAGCGTATTGAACAGTTTCAAAATAATGCTTATATTTAAATAAATGTACAACAAACTTTACACAACAGTTTGCTTTGTATTAAAATGTTCCAGAATTTATCAAAGCAAAACATGTTCGTGTGTTAAGTAGTAAGTACAGAATTATACGATAATTGGCTGAATAAGCAAATGTAATAAACAAGCGCTGCCCACAGAAAGATGTTATGGAAGCATTCGTTTAACAGATCAATGACATGCGCCTCATGAAATGTCCTGCAACACTGGGGACCTTTCAGTGCGTATACTGAAACTCAAGCTTTTCTAGTGGGTGCACTCCGTGTGCAGACTACACCACCGCTGCTCCTCCTTGTGCAGGCTACACCACCGCTGCTCCTCCGTGTGCAGGCTACACCAC